TCCAGAACGCTCGTCATCATCGACAGAGGTTCGGCCATTTTTAAAACGTGAATGCCACACAAAAGTTTGTGCACGACCCATTTCGGACTCCCCAAATGCTTGCTTTAGCATTTCATAGGTTTCCGTAGCCGTTTTGGCGAGTCTTTGGCAAAATTTGATTTGTTCATGAAAATCCTCCATTCCGAAATCGCAGGAGGGTCGGTGTAATGCACTACCAAAACGCCCGTAATTAAGAAACAAATGTTAATTCGATAATGCCGGCTGGCACACTGATTCACTATGAATGTAGGCCGCACCCCCTAGCGGCAGAAGCTCGTACTACATCCGGTTCGCCCTCTACTGACACAGTCTGGAAACTTTCCGATCGCACCTCGTACGCGTCATCCAGACGCTGATGTGTTTCGACGACTGGAACAGCGTCTCCCTATCGGACGTGTAACGCCTACGGCACGTGTGAATGCAGGTCGCTCACGGATTGTACAGACATCACCCAATGAAGACGAAGGTACTTGCACCTGTGGAACGAGAACCGTGGAGGAGCTCACGCGATATCGCACGAGAATTGGGACTGCCCCAGCCGAGGGTCCTCGACGTACTTCATAACGAGCAACTACGTCCATTCGAATACCCGCGGAGCGCAGGTTTCCAAATGATAGTCATCCTCGCATGCAATTTTGCGAATGGCTACGATATTAGCACGCTGCAGATGAGCTATTTTTACGCAATATTTTGCAGACAGACAATGCGTGTTTTACGCGTGATGGTGAGATAAACATCACCTCTGGGCACAGGATAATTCCATGCTATCCGCGGAAGTGGGTACAGTTTTGAGCTGATATCGCCTGGGACATTGTCGTGGGCCCCTATTCGCTACCTGACAGGCTGACTACTCAACGATATCGTGATTTTCTTAAAACTGTTCCACAGGGGCAGCTTGAAGATGTGCCTCTGGCTGTGAGGCAGAGGTTGTGTGGTCTCAGCACAATATGGGGAACATCTCTGGTAGTGGCTGAACGCGGCATATCCAGAAAGGTGGAATGGACTTGGAGGGCCGATTGCATGGTTTCCTCGCTCGGTAGCCGGATCTAACTCCAATGGATTTTTTGTGTGGGGGGGGGGGGGCTTGAAGGGGAACGGTTAAACATTCCCTCCCAGGACTATCAAAGATCTCGTGGAAAGACTTCAAGCAACTGTGACAACGGTCGATGCCAACATATCAAGGAATGTTCGAGAGAATGCCATCGGCGCACTGCTGTCTGCTTTGAAGAGGACAGAAGCCGCTTTGAAAACGTTGTTACTACGAACGCACATGGTTTGATCATCTGACAGCTTGGACCATTTGACGGTAACGTGAATTATGAAAACTAAACGTCACAGGAAATGTGCAGTACAATAATATCGACTTATTTTTTAACAAAGAACCAAGTCATGGAGATCTTGTGCACGAATCTCGTTTCGTTCTGTATAAGAACCTGAGAAAGAGTACATGATCTTAAGAACACCATAGACACGCAGAGATTTCAGAAAGAAAAAGATGGACAAGGAAACATGCCACACGAATAACATCGCACTTGTTCACGCAGGTGGTTGACGGCAACTCGAAACGCTCCCTCGAGAACGTGAACAGGTGGAACGAACAGCTTGGGGGTCAACACGATGTAGCTGTGTGGCTGACACGCGCGGACATAGGAGGGCCATCGGGTTACGCCCCCGTGTCAGGTGCATGCGACCCGGCAAGGAGCTGCACCCTCAACAGGGACGAGGGACTCACCAGCGCCTTTATTATTGCCCACGAGGTGGCACACGTGTAAGTCTGCAAGCTTCACGCTCATCAGAATTAAATTGTGCGTACTGGAATTGATTTCGTGTTTCTCCAGTCGAACAACATATAAATATTAATACTAGTTAATCACTCTATCTTCAAAAGGAAAGTGAAATTATTAAGTCCCTTGTCATATATTTTTATCATGCCTTTCCCAGCTATTTCACCTTTCCTACATCCAAATATTTTCACGAACGCTTCGTTTCCAAACACATGCCATCTGTGTTTTTTCTCTTGAACTAAAACAAGTTGACACGTAACGTTATGCCTATTACACAGATACGGAACTGAAACTCTTGCTGAAGAAAACACACACTGGACTTATGGAAAAGAATTACTTAAATATTTTGGCCTAAAGAGATTCATGATCACACAGAGGGTACATGAGAAGAACAATTGTGCTTGTAATTTTGCTTTATGAGTACCCTGTATGTACACTATATGAAGGCTGTGAGCGACTCTTAGGTTGGGTCTGACCCATGATGGCGACCAGGCAGTTGGCAACAACTGTATTCACGACGCGGTAACCGGAAGTGTCATGGCGCCGATGGTGTCGGCCACGTTCCATCGCTTCAGCTGGTCAGTCTGCTCCAAGAAGGAGTTTCACACCAAGGCCGCGTGAGTTGTTCCGATGGTCATGTGACATGATAAATGTAACTCATAAGCACGGATTAGTCAATTAATAAATACATTCATTGCTACCATCTTAAGGGCTGTCTGTCAGTGACCCAGGGACAGACTTTCTCTCCGGGATTCATTTATATTAGCTCTAGAAAATACATCTGAAATTATGTGCTACATCAATATCTTCATCAAGAATTGCCATGTGCTCTTAGGTTGGATAGTCTACCACGGAATACCAAATTGTCTTTGTATAAAATAATAAATATATGTTTGCACATTCGTTCGTACAGCAGACTGTCCATTACATCTCCTACAGACTTACGAAGACGTTGAACATTGCATCTTGTCACTGTATGGTTCGTTAAGGGCGCGCTGGAGCATTCAAATTTCGGCTTTAAGCACCAAAACAATTCAGCCCAAGATTCAATGTTTGTATAGTATTCTCACTAAGAACACTGGATAGTGCGCCAGACCATGTTTCAGAACCAACAGAATGCTATTAAGGCTTGACATTGCGCGCCATTCTGCCACACTACCGTTCTTCGACGGGGAAACTTTCCACAGTTTTCAAACACTGATTTTCCCCGTGCTTCTTTCTCTAATTGTCTGTCGTGTTCGCAGGCAATGGCCGTGTCTGCGAAACCATCCCAAGGCGGGAAACGCAACGCACCTCAAATCGACGTTGCAAGCGACATTTTCGATGGACGAACAGTGCCGCATGGAATTTGGAGACGGGTAAGTGCGCGATTACTCCATTCACACTCACACAGAAGAAGGCAATGGCAAACCCCTTCTGGATCATCTGCCAAGAACGTATATGAACAGGTCCCAGTCCGAGAAAAGGATGGAAGGATCCTGTTCATATGGACCTGTCGTCAGACAGAACACTAATTAAAAAAATAGTGCGCGAGATACGGCAACGTCGAAAACATCATAGAAATGCAGCTCACCCTCGCCATTCGCGTGGGTCATGTTCTTGTTAAAACCACGATGGCCAAAGTTAAGAAGTTATGGGGAAAGAACACGTGATACTTAATCTACGTCATTAATGACTAATGAACATGAAAACATCAATCACTGTGTTTACTAAAATGACGTGGGAGTGGAAGACATACAGCCTTAACTGACGAAGATAAACACTTGATGGACTAGAATGATCGAACGAGGAAAAAAAACGTTAACGTTCAAAGAGAAACAAGTTAGAATCTGTATATGGCTTAAAAATTCTGACGTATTTGCCAGAATTTGGCCTTTGACCCTAGAAACAATGCTAGTGAAATGTGGGGGTCAATGACCCTCTGGTAGCAGGGTAGATGACGCTTGTGTTGCTGGGTAATGTCACTAAGGACTCCCTAAGTATTTGCTCTACTATCTGGAATTATGTGGGGATTCCCCAGGAAATTATTGTAACCTAATAAATGTAACCCCACTCAGTCACTTCTGCATGCAGAAAAACTTCAGGTAAAGTTCCCGTTATTGTTAGATTTTAACAAAAATCTTGCTACTTTTAGTTGCAAATGCGTCTAAAAACGGACTAGAAAGAACATGGAAAGATCGAAACCTCTTAGGTAAATCAGGGTCCAGGCAGAGTACGGGTTGGAAACGTTACCGGTGAGGTGGAATGTTTCCCGAGTCACGATAGACTGAACAGTTTATGACCTCGTTCTTGTTACCGCAGCTATTCGCTGTGCCGGACGCTGAACCTTCCCGATCCCTGCTCACATCTGTGGTGTAGCCACTTCTCGGCACCGCTCGTCTGCAAGACGAAGAAGGGACCGCCATTGGAAGGAACGGAATGCGGAGTGAATCACTGGTGCGTGGGCGGCTTCTGCGTGCTGGTGGACCGACGCAGGTAAGCAAGCCCCTTCGTCTTCTCGTAACGAGCCATGTGGGTTCGTGTTTCGTTTAAAACGCACTCAGAAAATGAAAAAAATCAATGACAATGTTAATCGTCAAGATTCTTGGGTTTTAAACACCGTATCCCCTGTTGGCCCGATTAATATCCTACATTTACTCCACGCTGTTCATGTTTTTCGACAAAACAACGCTTCTTTCTTAAAAACCCACATGCAACAACGAAACAAATTACAAGTTGTTCAGAAAAGTTTACTTTATCACTTGGAAGCGTTGCTCGAGATGTCGGTCCGCAAGATCACTTCTAGTTGGAAGGAATATCACACGTATTTACATTTTCTGCTATCATTAAATTCATATATTGAAAAATATTGTGATATTATCAACGTATGTTGAATTTTGAAAATGTTTTCTTTCCCTCAGAGAAAAAACTGGTTCTGGTTTGTTGCGCCGTGTAGTCAGGTAGAAGTGTACAGACGTTTCAGAGGTCCTTCCTGCCTCCATCATCAGAACTCATCGCCCTGATGATGGAGGCATGTAGGCCTAGCACATACCGACTACATTTTATTTTGAAAGCCTGAAAGGAAGACACTACATGGAATAACTAGTCGTAGATGGTAGGAGAAAATTCAGATGTACTAAAAAGATATTAATTGAATAAAAATTTACTTGGATATTATCCATCGTCTAGTAAATATAAAACGTAAAACGACGTTTCGGAGATGGGACTCTATCTCCGGAGATAGGGATTAGCTCTATCTAGTGGGCCCAACTATGTAGGAACCTGAAGACGGAGATAGAGTCCCATCTCCGAAACGTCGTTTTACGTTTTATATTTACTAGACGATGGATAATATCCAAGTAAATTTTTATTCAATTGACTCTTCACCATCGTCAAGAAGTTTTAGATTTGATAAAAAGATATTATTAACCTTGTTATCGGTATCCGTGTGTTGTGTTTACGAGGGGAACCTAGTGTGATCCACACTTAACAGATGGCACTAAGCGACGATCTGTTTCGATCCAGGTTTGGTTTCGACCCTGTGACGCACAACCCGAGGGACGGCGGATGGTCCGAGTGGTCTGGCTGGACGTCGTGCTCCAGGACGTGCGGATTTGGAGTCACTTTCAGGAGCAGAGCCTGTGATAATCCAAGGTGAGACGCTCCGGGTTTAGCCAGAGTCTCTGGTCGATGGAGGATTTGCCTATTAGGAATTCGGGGAAAATTTAGAAGGGCATAGCTCAGTCAGTATAGTGACTAGCTACGGACTGGACGACCGGGGTTCGATCCCCGACGAGGGCAGAGGATTTTTCCTCTAGCCTCTGCGTCCAGACCGGCTCTGGGGCTCACCCAGCCTCCTCTACAATGGGTACCGGGGTCCTTTCCCGGGGGTAAAACCGGCCGGGGCGTGATGCTGACCACTCACCCCCCATCTAGTGCCGAGGTCAAGGAAGAGAGGAGCTATACCTCCTCTCACCCCAAGCACGGCTTTTTTGTTACTCGTGGTTTCGGATAAACTTATTATCTGCATCTTTAGTCCTGAAGATGGAGACGGTATACTCGGATTCCGGTTAATTGGGACACATCGGGACTTTGGCCCAAATAGGCGGCTGCCCCAATTATGCGACGTTAGACGTAAGGAGTTAAAAAAGGTTCGTTCTTTAAAAGATTTGCCCCAAATAAATGATTGCCCCGATTAACCGAAATTTACTGTATTTTCTTCGGAACGGTGGAAGGCCTACATGACGTCAAAACCCAGAACAACGTAGGCAACATCTGAAATGTTTCCCCTTTTATGTCGGGTGAGAATACGAAACCTGGATACGAAGCTGATATCGGACGCCTTGTTCATTTTATGACGTGTCTACAACACAGTTCTCTAGGCTAGTCTCGGCATACCGTGTTAAACTAAGCCTTTTTCCTAGAACACACAGGTTTCTATGATCTGCAGAAGACACGAGACTTCCCCAAATTTCATAGATTTTAAAACAATAAAATATTAAGCCGGAAATAGAGAGTAATAATCTATGTTTTTACTGTATGTATACACAGAGCTTAAGCTTGCAGAAGTTTATAAAAGAAAAATATTACAAAAATAAGGTTACTTCACTGTGCAAGCCTGTTTTTGGGCCCAGGTCAGTTCATATGTGATTTGTAGTGGACAACGCGACATTGTAACGAACAGTTTATTCTCCGAAGCATTCGGTATTACCCTGTCAACAGCATTTCACAGCTGCTTTATCACTCGTATATCATCTGGGGCATGTACTACAGACCCGACAGCGGCCCAGCTCCACAAAGACAGTCTCGCCACATCGCAACTGCAACAAGGTATAATTTATGAGGTACAGTCAGCCCAGGATTCTAAGCGTGCGTATGTAAGCCACGAGCGAGAGGTGTAAAACGGTCGAAGGAGGAAAAGGAATACTGATGAGATAAAACGGTCGAAGGAGGAAAAGGAATATCTGAAATTTCTTTGAAAGCAGCAAATACTGATGAGAAAATGGAAGAATAATATTAAAATGAATCTTTGGGAAATAGGCTGTGAGGACGCTAACTAGGTTGGGCTGGCTCAGGTTTATGTAGAATTATGAGCTTCTATATTAACGGTGTTTAATATTTTGGCACTTTTACCAGAGGAGTAGATTTAATTATAAGATTAGGTGATTCTGTTCATGATCTTCTGTCTTGTCCAGTCGTTACTAGCATTCGTGATGGCAACAGAACATTACGCCAAAAGTTTATGTTAACTTCTTTCCGAAATCAAATTCTGAACACTTTACTAACACCCGCGTATATTACACTTTAGTATAAATAAATATATGCATTTGCTTTATATAAAGCTACGGTAATTAATTTAGTACCAGCTAATAATCCTGAAGGACGAACATAATATATGGCATAATAGCTTCACTATATAACACACCTCACCCTGCGCACTATAACATCAGTATTTAATACATCGTCGTAAAATAACCAGCCATTTGTAAGTTCACTGTCACTGGTTTAAACGCTGAAAACGCTCAAGGTCCTTTCAGTGTCTGTAAATATCGCATTAACTAAAATAAAATATTTCTCAACAAATGAACTGTAATAAAAGTTTTCTTCTGATTTACTTCGAATTACTTTCTTGCCAAGCACAACAAAACACTATTAATTTAAACACACCCATACATTGTTTATTTCCTTTTACTTAATGTTATTGAAGCAAAGTTCAGCGAAGAACATGGCGTCTTCTTTATTGCAAATGTTTTTAGCTGATGGACTAATAGTGAGAGCGATAAGACCAGTCAGTTATTTACTTTTTTTACAGATGTACCAATCTACGTAAAATTAAACCGATGTAAACTCAAATTCTCGCAACGTAACCATATTTGTAATTGTTATATATAAAACACCACTCATACGGGACGCATTATAATATTTGTATCTGATTAAAAACTACTCATAAATGATTCGTTAACTACCGCTGTCAGACAGAAAACTACACACGCTACAGATTTAGCGCCGCCATAATACTATTGTTTTTACTTTCTATAAATCCTTACATTTATAAATATTTCGTATTTATCCACGATCTGATGTTACACAAATGTATGGGCCCCTTATTAAGTGTTGTTCCCACCTCAGAATTTCGCGTCCCGCCACGGCGGTGTACCAATGGTAGAACTTTAAAAGGTACTACAAATTTGGGGTGGCCTCCAGCGTCATATGAAGTTTCATGAAACTCGAGTTTTCGGGAGACGGGCAAAAACGTTGTGAAACTGGGGAAGAGAACTTTAAAGAAAATCTAGTAGGAATCTACGCCAATGAGTGCAGGCCTGTTCAGTAAAACTGCAACAGAATGCGTAACATGCAAGAACAAAAGGTCCCAGTCCGCCATAACAAAAAGGCAAATGTAGATCTGTTAGACTGTACAATAGGGTACATTGCGTTATCACTTACCTTTCGAAGTTCCTGCAAGATGGAAGTGCTGGACCACGATGAATGGTAACAGCAGATTTTGAGATGTCGGGAGAAGAAATGTTCAACTGTCACTTTCGTATTGGAACACAATTTGTTTCATAATTCACTTATTCTTCCTTCGTTGTCGTCTTAGTTTATGCATCTTCGAGCTGATGAAAACTACGAAACAATACGGTAAAGGCAATTATAACCGTTTAAAATTTTGAGCCGGGTTTCGTCTGGAGACTGGACAACTGGTTCTAGGAAAATATTATTATTATTGTCAGAAGTGTCTTAAAAATGAATGTACTTAAATTATATATAATATAGTGCATTTGACAGCCCTATTTCACTTGGTTGCATCAGGCACTTTCTCTCCGCTCACAAACAATTCCAAACGTTGTCGATACTTTGTTCAAATTTCCAAGCTTGAGGTTAAGAAAGGCCTGCTTTTATTTCTTCTGCACAAATAAGTTGCCACATGTTGTATGCCCGTCTTAAGCAATGCCAGAATTGTACCTATAGGCATTCATGGAATCAGACGAAACTAAAATGTTATTCAGACAGATTTAACTGAAAAGGGTAAAATGGGAAACATTTCTGTTAACTGCACAGCTAATTCATGCCGCCTTAAGTTGTAATATCTGGGTCAGTGTTTTCGAAGCTTCTACAATAATGCTAACTACCAAACTTACCGGCTGAAATCCTATCACCGCCATTGAACAGGTTAAACAGAATGCACGTGCACGTTTTACGACTGCAATGAATTATTATGAGTAATCATTCAAGTTCACTGATTATAACACATTGCACAAAAATTAACTTAACACTATCACAGTTATGCCTTTTAAACAAACAAACAAACGTTAGAAAATAAATACGAGAAGAAATGGTTCAGCATCACGTCACTAGTACAAAACACATTACACGATTACTCACACTACTTTCGGCTCTTTACGGATCTTGCCGAAGTGAACATCGGATTTCCGTTGGACGCTCTACGTGCAAAAGATAATAAGACCAATGAACAGGCAATAATTCTCAGCGTTCTGTGCTGACTCTCCACGGATACTTGGAGAATAACTTACTAGCACGAATGTAACTCGATATTCTAACACGGTGACGCAATTTATAGACCGGATGTACTGGTGTAAACATGCATGTTTTAAAAGTATCGTAAAAATAAATCGTTTAAAATAATTAACAATTGTGAAAAACTAGAAACAGAATAAAGTATGCAGAAACCATAATCATCTTAATAAACTGAAGATAATGAAACCGGTAAGGTCTCTTGATTCTTGTATTTCTCGATTCTTTGCACCGTGAAGCATCTGAAGCACATCACAGGTAGGAACAGATGTTATAGTTTGCCGAGGGCCGTGATATGGACGAGAATTCGTCATTTACTGACCGACAAATTGGATGACCGGATTACACCGGTAGTTAAATTCACCTTTTGGCAAGAAAAAGTCTAAAGTAGGCAAAAGAGAATTTATCTAGCTGGTGAGGGCAGAGTCTGTAAAGGAGAACAGGCTTGTAAAGTGGCCACCTGGGGCGACATTTTGTTATATAACAAATGATGTTTAACGTCCTACTCAGGGACGTAATAAAACCATGGAGTTCATTAATTAGTTACTTTATCAGTTAATTACCGTATTTCCTCGATTCTAAGACGCCATCGATTGTAAGATTTAGAAAAAAACGTGTTCTGAAAAAAAAAACGCTATATCGATTCTTTGACGCCATCAAATGCAAGATGTACCCCATTTCAGAAATTTTAAAATGCTGAAGAAGTGCGTCTTAAATCCAGGAGAAACGGCTGTGTCTGTGTGTCTTCTAGACCCGCGTATGGAGGAGAGGACTGTACTGGGAAGAGCGAGGAATTTCGTGTCTGCGGTCAGTCGCCCTGCCCCGAGCCCCTGAGGGACTTCAGGGCACAGCAGTGTGCCCGACTGCCGTCTATTGTACCTGTCGGGGGGCTAGGACACAGGATTAACAATACTTGGCTCGCACACGAGGCAGACCCGAGTACGTACACAGCTTGGTTCAGTCCTATATTGTTTAATGGCTTTATATGAATGTCTAAACTGTAAAACACTGCAAAATGAGGATTTTCATAACCTGTGATCTTAAAATGTTGTTAGGGCGCGAAAACCAAGACGGATGAAAAGGGTGGGAAATGATAAATGCGTACAGTTTCGAGGGACAAGTCGCTTGAAAATCAATTCGTTGTATTAACATTTGAAAAAGATGCGGACTGGACTCGACAGGATCACAACAAAGAGTCGAGTCTGTCAGGCTTTTGTGTGTGTGGTGATGAACTGTCAGCTTCCACACAAACAGGAAATTTCTTGGTAAACTGAGTAACAACAAAATTTTCAGAGACTTGTACCATTAAGTCAAGTACGATCTTCTAAAGGTTTTCAAGTTCTATCATCTTAGGTCATTCTTGCACTAATTCTGCAACCAGGATGACGGAAACACAGGGATGTCCAAGCTTGGTAGCTGAGGCAAAGCCCCTGGACCAACAAACTCTGGGGGTCAGCCCCCAAAGAAGGAGGGTCCTGGGTGCGAAAGTCCCAGGGGTTAAATAAAAAATTCCAATTTGGGAGTAGGCGTGGGAGGCTTCACTCGAGAGTGTCCCGACGGGAAGGGGCCTAGCCCCACGGGTGGGGACGCCTTCCGGCGCAGTCTCAGTCCCCCTGAGATGGTGGAGGCAAAGGGGTGTCCAAATGGGCAAAGGCAAAGCCAACAGCAAAGTTAGGAGAAGCAAGCAATAAAAATTACAAAAAAGGGAATGAAAATAAAAATAAGAAATTAGAAAGGAATAAAAATAAGATTATTAATTACAACAGAAATAATAAAACTAGGATTTCTCAAGAGACTGTCCTTCTGAAATTTAACTTATACATTGTCATTTCCATCATTCTCCCGTTGGTTCAACTTCCCCTGATCCAAATATTCTCACTCCACTTTCTTCACTCTCGCAATGAGAGCGTTGCTTTAATTTTAATGTGCGCGCGTGCATTACTGTGACAGGTTCCATGAAATGCCAGCTGACGTGCGTCAGCAGAGAAACTGGGGAAGTGTTCATGTCGGGAGAGAACCTGTTAGACGGTACGCCTTGCTCCTACGACAACTACGACAACAGTATCTGTGTCCAGGTATTTCAGAACAATTGGTGTACACGTAAATGAAGTCACAGAGCATTGCAAATATGTTACCGATGGAGAGACAAGGAGTCCGCGCACAATGAATTGGTTCAGGTTACACTCCACTTCTTAAGATAGTCTGTTAATTAGCGTTGACTAGTTATGTAAATATTTGGTCTATCGAAGTACCGACCACGTTTCCGTTCTACTCTTTGACACACGCCATCTGTTGTCCTCAGGGTCACTGCCATGTACTGGGATGTGATGGGGTCTTGGGCTCAACCGTCAAGGAAAACTCCTGTGGCGTGTGTGGGGGTAACAACTCCAAGTGTCACAACGTCAGTAACGCTTTTCACCGGAAACTGCATAGAAGTGAGTTCATCGAAAGGTTTCTGGTTAGAAAACCAATTTTTGTTCCTTGTAAAACATTAAAAAATTCCGATCGTCTTAAATCTTCAGTACGTGGAATAACAAAGAATGGAGAAATTGAATATGAAGAGCTTTATTAATTTTATTCTTAATAATAAGATGTTTGCTGTGGACTGATGTTGCCAAATGAGAGCCCTTGAAATGTTTTTTATACCTGTACCATAAATAACTATGCCTGCAGCAATGACACGAGTAGCAGTATTCCCTCGTCTGGCTCGTGACATGCGGATAGATGTCACTACAGTCCCTGAGAGGGATGTGATATTGGTACTCCGAGACAGACGCAGCCGACAGTACAGTCTTGCCTCACCCAATGACTTGAGGCTAAAGACAACAGGTCCAGTGCCGATATATGGAACGGTCACTGTGTGGACGGTCCCCTCAAGTAAAGAGCAAAACACCAGCAGCACAGTCATTGTTGAGGGGGCAAAGTTCCACTATGAGAGAAAGGGGAGCCAGGAGAAACTGGTTGCTAGAGGTCCACTCCTAGCAGAACTAGTTGTGTCGGTGAGTATTCCGGGGCAGAAAGATTAATATAAATTATATAATGACGCGGCTTTGTGTGGATTGTGATCTGGGTTGCGACGCTGTTCAATCTTTGGTAATATAAATTATATAATGACGCGGCTTCGTGTGGATTGTGATCTGGGTTGCGAAGCTGTCCAATCTTTGAGTAGTTACAAATATTTCACAGGAACATATCACCTCCCTCTTCAGGGTCAAAGTGAAGTTAGATATAGCAGCTTCGTACTCATAATCTGTGTGCTTAGGAGAGTCAAATTGAGAAGGACGAGAAGGCTGGGGTATGGAGCAGAAATGGGAGAAACTAGAAATTCTTAACGTTGGACTGAATAAATTAAGGGGAAATATCAGTTGTAGATCTAGGCACAGATGTGAGGGCAATATTTATGACTACATTGTGAAGATGTGACCTTAATAAAACTACCTAAGGTCAGGGCCCAATGGTTCATTTTTCCAATAACCAATTCCGATGACATACCATCAGCTTCCATGACCAAAGCTGTCAACTACTGAAGTACTATGGAGTCAGACTGTCAGTCACTTGGTAAACAAGTCAGTCATTCAATGACTACTCTCTCAAATGCTCCCTCAACCTCCTAGTCTCTGATGCAGTAACTCAGTTACAATATAAACCCTGGGTTCTGGCTGCTGCATTGCAGGTGTCTGCAGAGTCTGCTGCCCTGGACGCTGGTGTGACGGTATCAGCCAACAGCAGCTACACGCTACATGAAACTGTGTATGCGGCAGGCTCACGCTATGTTTGGCAGGTGGGTGGCTGGGGCCCGTGCTCAAAGAGTTGCGGGGGAGGCCGACGCCTCAAGACCGTGGCCTGCAGGGATATCGACACAGGACGTCTTGTGCCTCGGAGACACTGCTCGCTGGTTGCCAAGCCTTCCTCCGAGACAGAACGCTGCAACCTCATCAGGTGAGAAATTTTTCTGTGAACAGGAACTTCACAAACCAAAAACTTACTGGATTAAATTTGCACCCAGAGAGATGACCACTGACAACTAAACTAGAGATCGCAAGATCTTGCATCAGATAGCCTCGTTAAATAACAACAGTAAATATTTGTACTTCGCAGGCAAATGTAATAGGTTCTTCTATGGCTCTCTGGTCCATGGCCTCCTCAATTCTCCTCTTCCATTCAGTCCTCTGTTAGGTCCGTCTGTCCGAGGCTTTGATTGAGGTTTCAAAACGTCTTCCTTTTTACGGTGCAAGGTTGTTAGCCTTGCGACCAACCCCCAACCTCGAGGACCAGGGTACCTGTCTTAGTCTGACCTCTCCCCCTCGACCAATCTGGCTAGGGAGGCCCTACCAGTAGCTCTTGGGGTCACTGAGGTACTCAAGCCCCACCACCATGACAAAGTGAATGTAACAGGTTAGCATAGTAATATATGGGGAGACAAATGGTTTGATCTCAATCGTAGTGGCACCAATTATCCTGACTGGCTTCTTAGTAGGTAGAATTATTCCATGAAATGTCAAGTAATATATTTAATTACAACACAATAGTACATTGTTCACAATGCATAATCATCCTTTCATCTGTTGTTTACAAATTAATCTCTACAGTAATAAAGCAGCTGTCCAAATATTTGGACACGAGAAAGATCAGATCACAGGAGGGTGAGATTGGATGGGCATTTAATGCACAAGGGGAGGAATGAGAAATGCATACAAAATTTTGGTTGGAAAGCCTGACAAGACTTAAGGCCTAAATGGGAGGATAATATTGAAAAGGATCTTTGGGAAATAGGGTCTGAGGGTGTCAAGTGGATTCATATGGTTCAGGACAGGGTGAGTTCTTGTGGACGTGGTAACAAATCTTCAGGTTACATGAAAGGTGGGTAATTTCTTGACTAGCCTCTTAACATCAACTCTGGTCCAGTTAGTAATACAGCAGCAGACAGACTTAGTGGAATTCAATGTGAATACTATATATGGTCATCTGTAAGTAGTATATGAGATAAAGTTGAAGTGAATCTACAAACTCATCTCTTTAAAAGTAACACTGATAATTTTAATTTGGCAATATCAACAAAATAGGACAAATCATCTGGATAGAATGACCAACAGTAGATTCCCAAAGGCAATTTTGAAATACCGCCCTGCTGGGAAAAGATCTCTCAGCCGACCTCAAAAGAGATGGACAGAAAACACAAGACCGTAACAGGCCTCGTGGCCTAATACGGGAAAGGATGATGATGATGACCGACAATTTTATGTCACTTCACTAATGGGTCAACCTGCATGTACTGAAGTCACGTTTTCACTAAGAGGGCTGTGCATTCCATTTCAAAGCTGTGACTTCGTGTGGGTGCCTGCGGAGTGGGAAGAATGCACGTCAACCTGTGGCTCTCGCGGCATGCAGGAGCGTCAGGTGTTCTGTGTCCACAATCACACGGACGGTAACGAGCCACCATGGCGACACATGGTTGACCCACAGCAATGCCCAGCTGGAGTCAAACCAGAGACCACAAGACCTTGCAGTCGGGTGCCATGCCCCGCACACTGGGTCAGTGGCAATTGGTCACAGGTATGTGATGAACTAGCATAAAGTTTTATTGTACAGGAATAGGGGATTTATATCTCCATATTACGCGGACGTCAGCCTGATTTTAACTCTGGGGTTAACAGTTTAGTAATACGTTGGAATGTCCTGCGAATAAGACATGATGATTGTTAATGAAGGTTAAATTTGCAGTCATTCTGCGAGAGGATTCCAAACGATTAGTATGCAGAACACATGATTAAAACATTTATTCTACATTTATCCCCATTAACATAATCACCATAGAAAACTAAGAGTTCTTCAAAGAAGCCAACAGTTGCTCAGCTAGTCAAAAATTCTCCGTCTTTTATAGAACCCGAAGGTTCATTATTTTATTAAAGAGAGCAAGCCGTTGGAACGCGACCTAAGACAGAAGGCTCCAAAGTTTCCATACCATACCCTTCCTTTCAGGTTTCTTATATGAATTTCTCATCTCCCCCATTCCTGTCACATGCCCCACTCAACTCATTCTCCTCAATTTGTTTCCCCTTATAATGTGAAAAGTACAAATTATGAAACTACCGTCATCCTGATTAAAGTCTTAAACTTGTGTATAAAATCTTATGTAAGTGTATTTATAAGACAAACGAAATCTCTGTACGACCGAGTTACTTGATTAATCAGTCCGTTGGTCACTCGATGTATCAGTCACCCACTTAAGTCAGCCAGCCAATCAGTTTGTTAGTTGGAAATGAGACAGGCAATGAAACACAAATTAAAAATAGATTCGTAATACCAACTCAAAAATGTTAATTGGGATACCAAAGATAGAAGTAACTATAATATTAAAATGAATATTAGAAAAATCTTTTTGGCACGTAGGTTGGATTGAACTGACTCAAACAGGTTCCAATGGCATGATTTTGTAGTAAAAATTCTGCGACAGTAGATAAATTTCATGAACTCAGCAACTACAGATTATTCAACGAAACCTACGTAGAAAGGGACTTATTACGTACATTATGTTTTATGTTTCAGTGCTCTGCTAGTTGTGGCCGTGGATTTGAGAAACGGGAATTTCGTTGTTCAGCTCCTCGTGGCGAACCATTCTTCGATTGTGGTCCATCACCCCCTGACGAACAACGTGCTTGTCATGGAACATTCAGGAGACATGATCCTCTGTGCTACATACCAAAACCGTGCCGCCGTGATGCATCCGTTTACTGCAGTCTAACCAACCTTTTGGGGCACTACTGTGTTATCCCAGGATTCAGAAAACTCTGCTGTAAATCATGCAGTCTCACTATGAATATGCTACCCGAGTGATATCTCACAAAACTGAAATTGTAAAGTATGATAAGACCTTCCATTATACAGTAGTATGAAATAAAAGAAACCTGTAATTTTCATACTTTTCTCACATCCTGTTACTGATGACTTTAGGCTGGGGCCACACGACCGTACAAAGTACGTCTGTTGCAACGGACGTAGGTGAGGACACCACACGAGCGCCAATTACCGTGGCAGCTTGAAAGGATTTAGAAAAAAAATAATGGTATTGTCTGTACTTACAAATCATAATTCTATGACGGACATCACGATGTGCGTTACAACAGACGTACTTTGTACGGTCGTGTGGTCCAAGCCTAAAATTATACACAATCAGAAACTAATATTCCAAATTTGTACAAGTCCCTCTCAGACCCTGAATTTACAAGAACTCATTTTTTGTCATCATCATCTTCATCAACCAGCCAAAAGTATTCTAAGTATTAGCCAAAGTATTCAATGACGACAGCTGCCAAATCTTCAGAAAACATCACAAGGCGAGGATGTCTTAATATGAAAGGCTACTGGAGATAGTTGTTCCTAGAAATAATGATCTCTGATAGGATCCCTTAAAAACATAAAATACCAAGTTTTAACTGCTAAAAGGATTAACAAACTTATGTAAAGATTTTGTTCTTTAAATACGTATCTGGTCAACAGGACATAATACTGTAAAGGATGATGATGACATTACCTTTTCTTTTATTCAGATAAATACAGTACAGTAAAACCCCTTAAGTTGGACACCCCTTTATATTGGACACTTTTAATTGGAACCGGTGAATATCCTATAATTTTACATGTCCACAATACCCTATATCTTGGACACCCCTTTATCCTGGAACTTGGTCACCCCTTTTGTTGTAAGTTTGACAGGTTCATGCACTTAACTTCGATGCTTTTCAGGGAAACTTTTTCAGTTACATATTTTGTTATTTTGAATTTCTGACTGATGAATGCCTCCTCTCTGGAGGATTATCTTATGGACACTGAACCCATCATTTGAATGCATTGCAAGTGTTTAACTATGAACCTTTAACTGGACTACAGTATTGCAGAAGACACAGTTTTAACTCCGTCAGTACTGTGCTTGCATTTGAGTTCAGACTGTGTTAACAGAAATGGAAATTTCCTTTTTGCGATGGGGAAGCGAAAATTGGTGGGATTAACTTTAGAAAATGTTATTGAGGCTGGGGTGTAATGTGCAATGCATGGGAGTGGGCTTCAAAAGATTATTATTAATAGTATTGTCATTAATTCTTAATTTAAGTAATCCCTCAGTAGTTAGTGTATGTAAGTAAATAGATTATATTGTCATTAGACCACAATCTGATTTTTCTCCTTCCCTCTATCTTGGACACATTTTCGTGGAACCCCAAGTGTCCACCTTAGAGAGGTTTTACTGTATTATGTTTTGCTGCTGAAAGGGCAGAGTGGAGTGCAGACTTGTTTGAACTGTAAACTGAGCAATGTGGGCTAGTTGACCTTTATTCACTGTGAATATAATACAGCTGCTCGGACACGTTAAAAATATGGCTGCAAACAATACAAAATGATAAGAAAAATAATCAAAACAAAACCAATGTTATTTCAGTTTATTCTAATGCATTATTGGTGTTCAGTTTTCACATTTGTAGGCTGTGCTTCTAAAAACGTATATCATTATCACTGGAAAACATATTTTTTATGAATAGTTTGATTGTTCTAGCCAACGGAGAATACACCCCATCATAATTTTTAATTACAAGATTGGTGGCAGCTAAGGAAGCATTAGCACTTTCTTTTGAAAAATAAATAATAATACATGGGATACATATTTTTCATACTTTCTATTAATCTATGTCACCATTATAAAGGCACTGCTATGAAATTGAGTCTTCATTTAGTCAATAATCATCCTATCAGGACACAATGAAACATACAAAAAACAGCAATTTGTTAAGGTATCTGCACGTGTGATAAATCCGTAGTTCCGACAACCTACCTAGAATATGGGGAGAGCTTCAAGTAGCCTGCCATTTAATGTAATGTAATAAATTTTGTTAAATAGTATTTGTAACATTCATGTGGAAGAGCTGATGAGTTTGGTTTTAACACATTCACTGCCCAGTAAATAATACCTGTTAAAACACGAAGGCTGTGGCTTAGTCGGAACAGACTAACAAAGTTTTCATTTAAAAACACATCAGTTAATGAATATGTGTCAAAAATACATACATATCCTGATTCCTCAGAGATTCCTTCTGAATATCTATGAAGATTTCGTAGAAATTAAATGATACTTATCAAACAAAGCACGAATTACTTCGACAAGTCCACAGACCAGGAGAAAAGCCCTGCGGGGGGAAGTCGTTTCTGGGGCGGTGCACGGGGGAATGTTTCTTATCAGGTGGACTAGAGGGCTGCTATTGGTGGGAAGTGCGATATGTCAGAGTTTTACACTACTACACTCAGACTGAAAACATCAAGCAGTTAAGAGTAGCGTGTAGTGAGTGCAACTCTAATATGTTTTGTGGGTGTTGCGATAATATTCTAGATTAAATCACTGTGCTGCTGTGAGGTAATCTTAAAGCTATACCCATTAGAACACATGAAAGCCTGTCATCTGTTGTTCGTTCAGTGGTTGTGGAACGAATGCTTTTAGGATGGGTCGTCACTCACCGCGAAATCTTGCGCATGCGTGTATAACGAATTCCTAGCAGGGCTTTTCTCCTGTTCTGTGGACTGTAGGTAAGGCAATACAAGCCATCACCAGTGCTAAAGCTCATTCTCACTTGAGAACCAAACTGCCTACTATCATCAGCAATGAATGTGTCGAGACCAAACGCATGTGGACACAACAACTGAGAGCCCGAACGACAGGTCCCCAAATACAAGATAAATAATATTTAGTTCATCCATTGTGACTGAAAACTTTGGCTACTGACTAGATAGTTCAACACAGAAATGTATCTAAGCAGTGCACATGCAGCATAAATCCATTAATTAATTAATAATTAAAAAATTGTACAGTATGTACATCTAACAGTTATCACTAAACATCTTCTTATAAAAATACCAGCCAAGACATAGGGATGGACTTTATCATTAACTCTACTGATTAGGAGACAGAATTACATCACAACAGTGTGGATAATAAAGAACGTGACACTGGAAGTCACATTATCTGAAGTAATCTTGACTGTATCAATCAGAATTTGCAGTAGTCTTATATGTATGAGGAAAAACTGTTCCAGAGGCACAGTATTTAAAAAATAAAGATAATTGTGGCTTTTAGAAGTACAAGAATGATATTTCAGGAAAACAAAGACATGCATGAATTAAAGTAACAGAAAGATCTTTCATACAAGCAAATATTTACATTCAACTGGAAACAAAACAAAGATACTTTTACCGAACCCTTTACACTCCACAAGTGGAGTGCGTCTCCCATTCTAGATTCCACGTTAGACATACAAGTTGGAAAAATTACCCTTTTTTCTCTGTTACTTGTATTTTATAAACTTTGAAGTATTTTTCATTAACAGGCAGATGCTGCACTCTGTTTTCCATTTAACAAACTATTTACCACACCCTTAGTCATTATATACGACCAGCAGACAATTATAGAAAGGTTTGGGTAGGTGATCTCGATGCACATATGTACATTAACCTACTATAATAGTACTTCCCTGTGTTTATTTACCAGCCGTGACTAATATTATCACTGTTCTCTTTCAAATATGCGATACGGAAAAAAAAACTCGGAATCCTTTTCCTTTCATCACAAGAAAAGCCCTTGGAAGCACAATAAGATAATCAATATTAGGTAGAGCTTGTACTCAGAAAACCTTTACATCATTCTCGTCATATCAGTTCTATAAAAAAAGGGGAGACAGAGAAAACAATTAAACAAAAACTACATGAAATTTGGAAAGATCAGACAGGAACCAAATTAAGACTTTACAAAAGAAAATCAAATGTAAGTTAACTGTATAAAGGTATTTCCAAAGCACTGCCTTAAGTCATATCATGACAGTAAAATATATTTTGTAGGTTTGACAAAGTCTGCATAAAAGACAAGAAAACGCTTTCTATTCAAATTAGAAGTAAACGTAAAAGATAAAAAACATAAACATACAAAGACTGACAGAGGGTGCACTGGTAGATGTGCTGAAATATAATAAACTCTGGATAATAAACCAACAAATTAATTGTAGATGCTGAGTTAGGAGCAGAAATAATCAGAGAAGAAATGACTGATTATTAGCTTGTAACTCACAATTTGCTTAATACAAGCAACTCTCGAAACAAAATCCAACCACGATTCTTCAACTCAAATTTGTAAAACTATAATCGACCCGTTAACAAGTCCACTTGAAAATGTGGCACACTTTTTTCATACTGATTCTAGAATTTACCAGTATACCGTATTTACACCTGACAATATTAATGCAGTTACGTTAACCCAGGCAAAGACTCGGATTAAATCTGACATGAGTATGTATAGTGTAATCATGAATAGAAATTATTCTAATAAATCAATGAGATAGTAATAATAATAATTATAATGATTCTTTGGTATATAAAAATTTCATTTGGATAAACCAACTGCTTATATCAAAATAACAAAGACAAATGGACTTGGCCACATCTCACACCTTTACAATGCTCAAAATAAAACCTATACGTGCAGTTCCTACATTTGTGGTGGAGTACGGAGAGCGTTCGCAGTGAGGATACACAACACGGAAAAAAGTCCTGAAAGCTGGGTTTATCTATGAGCAATCACACAATATGTATGCCTTCATATAACTTAAGAGAGAGAGAGCTAATCTTTGAAATGCTGTCGATCTTTTTTATCCAGGGAAAAGGATGTGATAATGTCACTATTTAGTAGTGAATTATTTAATCAGAAATTACATAATCAAGCTTTCCGACAGCTTCAGAAAAATAAACTTGCGTAACTATGTTTATATGAGACAAATGTCCTCATTTCAAATGTTCTAGCTTTATATTAGGCAAAAGTAATACATAAAATTATGGATAAGACTGTATTGGCCAACATTGGTTGGGGGCGGGGAGAAATATACGGTTTTATTGTAAATCCATTAAAAAAATGAGTATTATGGAAAGATACTGAGCTGTGAACAGGACAAGTGGCCCAGAATAGGACCCACAAAAGAAGCAGTTGTGGGAATAATGAAGAACTGTTGGGTTCTTTGTAAATGGATGATTAAAGTGTTCACGGATGATCATCAAAGGAAATAATTAATATTTCACTGTAAGCAATATAGTTCTTGCATTGATGGAAAAAGATTAAAATTTCAAAACCTACAAAAGAACAGAAAAACTTCACTTGTATGAATGAAATTAGTGATAATCCACCTAACATAATTCTTGAAATACTATGACAATAACAGTTAAGCAGATTTACCATTAATTTTACACTTCGGAAGTACGTAACCTGTTAGACATTTTTCAGTGTCTCTTAAGAATTGCAAGAACGGTACTTCATAGAGGACAACACGACACCCACCGCCTCTCTAATCCACGCCATATAATATTTTATCATTCCTGTATGTCTATTTACTCATACGGTTCTCATAGCAGTGTCCATGCTTCATACAGTTATCACAACACGATAACAAATTGTAGTGTAGAATCCACATGTTGACTTTCTTTTGACTACAAAATACCTTGGATTTTCCCATTTTCCTCGCAGAATGTTATTCTGGTGAAAAGCTATAAACACTTTGGACAGAAGCCGGAAGAAATCTATTCTCTGACAATGTAAGATATTCGCATCAGAAGAGTAATGTATCTCATTTGTAGCTATAACCTTTATTAGATACGAAAAGAGGATTTATATCCGTACTACGTAATTATCAGCTGGATTTTAACTCTGGGCTCAACGTTTTAGTGGCATTTAGTGCAATGCATGACAAGCTGCACTAAGCCATGGCACACAGTCATAAATATTTATCCAACATTTACTTCGTAAAGTCTTCGTTATTGAGTACAACAGAAAGACATTATCAGGATCACGGATAATATTTTTTGTGCAACAGACTGTGTGCACCAAAATGAACTGGAAGCCACAGTGAATTTTATCTTGAGCATTGTTTACATTAACCTGTTCCAAGTCGTGTGATGGGGTATGATGAACCTAACCTAATTCGATGCATCCTAAGCTCACCTCATATTCTTTCAACATAATTGCCAGGGAAGGTACCAAAGTAGCCAGTTCTCTGACTTGACCCCACATACCAACCGTCGTCACATTTCTCCATCACATAGACTGTGTCTCCTTCGCACAACTCCAGCTCATCTTCATTCTGTGGCCGGTAGTTGTACAACGCACGATACCTGTCGTCACATGCAACAGAGAACACTGCTTTTTTTACTCAGGTCAATATCTCAGTGTGATTTGTTAGTCGGCTTCTATCTCATGAATTTTATGTGACTTATGTAAGCATATTTCACTTCTGTATTGTACGTATGTCCGGACACTAAAGCTACAAAAGACAAAAACATCCAGGAATTTCTTTTGCATAACTTTGTTATAACGAGACATTTAATATGGAAGAATTTTTAATTGTATTATTATATTCTCACAGTCTTTTAGAAACTGAAACATTTTATGAAGTGACTCTGATACAAGAAACTTACGGGACAGGTTCAGAGTGTGTATCGATGTGCAGCGTTTGGTTGACAGGCGCCAGTGGCTGCTTCAAAGTCTGGCTCTGGCGGGGCTGTTGAATTAAAGTTTTAAGTTTATAAGTCAGAATACAATCATAAGCATTATATTGTATATCTATTCCTCTGTTGTATAGGAATTAAATATTTTTCAAATAATTTTCTTATGTTTGATATAAAAACCTATCTAAAGGCAATTTAAAAGTCTAGAATGAGCTAGAAGAATCTAATTCAAATAAATATCAGGGGGTTTTTATTTAAAAAATATCATTTCGATTGAAGATGCTCAGTGGTTCAGTAGTGGGGTTTAGAATGTGCAATGTTATTCAGATTTCTGTATTCTGGGTTGTTGCGCTGTGTAGTATGGTCGATGTTTACCAACGTTTCAGAGGTCATACTGCCTCCGTCATCAGAGCGATGACTACACGGTGCAACAACCGAGAAGACAGTAATCTTCACACTCACCGCTGTGAAAACCTCAAATCCTACAATGTTTTTCAGGTCTGTTACCAGAAAATTAACTAGAATTACCAGTGTACCCATATACAAAATACTTATATTCATTTATGTATGAGGTTTGTTCAAATAAAACCCATTACAGATTGTTCTGGGTGAAGAAACAGAGCATTGATGCATAGCCAATGAATCCTCCTCTGCAAAGAACTTCTTAGGCTACTACACCATCACAATTCTGATGGCTTTGCCTTACCCAATTCTACGACCCTTAAGCACTTTAAAGAGGGGGCCGAGCACATACAAGTCACAGGCTGATCTGGACTATATGCGGGGAAGGTCCAACACCTTCGAGAATGTGTAGTGTGGACAATGTACAGACGGGCATTATCATACAATACAATGACACCCCATGTAAACATGCCGGGCAACTTCTCTTGATGATGGCACACATCATGCATTCTCCCATTATTTTTTTAGATTAGTTGACAATCCTTGGTACCAAGGAACAAAATGAAAGCTTGTTGGTCTTATTTGGGCAAATTCTGCATTTTACTGTACCACACTGTCCCCATTTGCTGTAATGAACCACTTTATCACACACCTCTGTCCCCATTTGCTGTAATGAACCACTCTATCACACACCCTGTGGTCGTTGCTGGGGTGGTGGTGTGTCGTACACAGCCGTGATCAACTGTAACCGTCTATGTACTTTAGAAGTAAAGCCACAATCAGGTTTCATTTGAACAACCCTCATAAAAGAGAAAGACACTGTTTATTTTTATTTTCTCGAGTATAACGTGTTATGACTACAGAAAAAAGAAAAAACAAAGGTAAATTACCCACACACACAGTACACTAACAATTCTAAATATGGAATCATTAAATTAACAACTTCAAATGCAAGTCTCAAGATCAACACACTACATTCTTCTAGATAAGAAGAGAAATTATTATATTTAAAAGAACTACAAATATTTAATTTTAAGATAAATTAATTTAATACAAAAGATAAAGGACATAAGTAATAAGTTAATGACAGATATATTACCCATAAGCTGACTCAAATGATAAACTTCAAGTTGAAAGAGATTGGAAGGAAGAGATAAAGACAGTCTGATCAAATAAACTGAACTATGGTCCGCTCAGAACCGCGAAGATCGACTGTACATACCAGTGTTGCATATGGGTTGCTGGATGTGTATGAGGAAGCCATCTTATTCTGGCTGTAGTATGACGACGGCTGGTAGCTGTGGTGTCCCATCGACTGTTTGATCCCACTTCCATTCATCAGGACCGTGTGTGACGCAGGCAATGTGATAGGTTTTGATAACGGAGCTACAGGGGTCCCTGCGGTTTTAATAACAAATTTTAATACAACCATTGTAACGACACATTACATATCAGGTCAACAATCACTAGTTGCTAGATCATTTCCAATTCGACTATTAACTTGTTTTTGAATTCAATATAATGTCTTACATTAAAACCCACAATAATAGATATTAGATTTTTAGACTATATTATTTTCTTAAAAATGATAAAGATATATAGTGATCACCACGCTCTGTGTGCGCGTACATGCACTAGTGCATACGTATCCCTTTACAACTTCAAAGGGCATTTGGTATGAATGTTAAGCCACTGGTGACGTGTTAATTTCTTTTAACCAGTATTAACAACAGGAAAAAGATGCGTACGCTTGAAAAGTGGAAGCAACAGCAGAGCCGCTTACTTAATATAGGGAACTAAAATGATGAACGATAACAGATTTTCAAAATAATAATCAACTATTGCAAATGTAACTTCTGCAGAATGTAAAATAATGACATGGCAAATTGTTAATTGTTTTCTTTAGTTTTCAGTCTGTGAGCAAATAAAAAAAACATTTGGGCAAGGCATGTGAAATTGGTATTCGGATCATTCACAAACACACCTGCTAAAATTCTATAAAATATTTACAATTGCAAACAATAATAAAAAGTGTCTAAATGTTGAATTTGATCACACGATCATATGTGAAGGAACCCGACATGCTAACTCATGGGCTAATTTACATTTCAGTGTTAGATAATCCACTTACACTGCCTAAATGAAACATTAGCAATTACAATTTTTAGGACTGGAAATAAATATGGTAGTAAAGAAGGCTTTTATGAATTCCATTCAGAATTTTTCTTTTCATACAAGTGAGAGGCTGAAAAATGTACAAAGAGGGCAAAAGATGGTGGACACATCAAAGACATTTTTGTGTAAATACTGCAAACACACACACCAAGTAAAGTAAACTACAGCTTAGGGCAGTGGTCCCCAACCTTTTTGAGCCTACGGGCACATTTGAGAGTTTATGAGATAGCGGCGGGCACCAACCAATTAACCAAGCCAAATTTTCTTTTCTCTGGACAAATAAGATATGGACACCAAATAATACGCAACACAACACGACGTTTAATGATACAAGAAACCACGCAATCAAAAATACGTAGCTTTATAAGTACAATTATTATTACTCAAGTGGGAAGTTAGTGTGATGTTTGGCGCTGCATTTCATCAGCCAGTTTTTCAAATTTGGGAGTGTAGGATGATGTTGCTGCTTGCAAACAATCGTCAAAATGGGCATCAGTAAGTTGAGATCTGCGCTTTGATTTTATAATGTTCATGGTCTAACGGCCTTCATTATTCAGTATAACCTCTTTCCGTAACAACGCGGGCACCCAAAAAAAGCCATGGCACCTGCGGGCACCGCGTTGGGGACCACTGGCTTAGGGCCTCACAATAAGACAAGTATAAAAAATATGCATTATAAATTTTAACATGTAACTTTCCACATTCATATTTTACTTATGATAGTTTAATTCATTCATGTTTGTGTTTTAATGTTCCCTTCAGTCAGAATAATAAATGTATACTTCAACTTTGAAATTCTTGGGACCTCTTAAAACTGACATAGCTTAGGGCCTCAGAGTCAGAATAATAAATGTATACTTCAACTTAGAAATTCTTGGGACCTCTTTAAACTGACATAGCTTAGGGCCTCAGAAGGTCAAAGTCTTATCCTGACTGAAAATATGAGATGAATGTAGTATCATTTGTACACACATCATTCTTAATAGTTATCGAACTCGGTGTAAATAAACTAAAAAGAAATGCTATGTGGCATGTAGCAGAATCGCAAAACACACAAATGTCTGATACTTCAAAGGGGTTAGTTAAAGTGATGAAGATGATGTTTTTAAAGTTACATACCTGGTTTTTCACCTGGTTCAGAAAGGACTTCCACATATGATACAGGGAAGATTCCTTTCCTATTTCCAATGCGACCCTCAAACCAGTTATCATCCACACGCCTCGTTAGCACCACAAGTTCACCTAATGCACAAGGGTTCATGTATCACTAAAATAAATTTTGCAAATTACTCAACAGATCACTAATTGTAAGTTTTTGTTGATTTTTAAATCAAAGGCCTAGATCTATATTTTGCATACACCATTTTGGTTGACAAACCTCACGCAGACACAGCAGTTGCAGGTATTAATCCAATAAATCCAAGAGAAACTGGTTTGAAAATAATTTTGTTCTTGCCCCCTCCTTCAAAGGTATAACTGTCTTTGTTTTTTGACCGGGGATATGTAACTAAGCTGTTTACAACTAACTGTAGAATAAAAATTGTATTATTGAATCATAAAAGCATTTTGAAATTAAGTTAGGTAAGGAAAAGAACTTTAAGGAAAATGTGATCAGTTTATAACTGAAGTATAGATTTCAGTGTCCTTCAGTAAACTTCATGGTAAATTTACTCAGTTTAACGAAAGATTTCAGGGTCAATTTTAAACACAAGACCACAACACAAAATTTTCAGTACTGTGAAAACCTTGTTTCTTATTTGATTAAATTGTTCTGGCTCAAAATGTAAATTTTCAGGTCACTTATTAATAAATTGCAAAAAGTTTTAAAACATGTTTAAATTTAAAATTGCATCTCCACTGCATCCACAGACATACCAGGTCTCTTGTCATTCACAAAATAATGAGACACGGAAATTCTCCACTTTTCTTAAATGCTGGAACCATCTTATTTGTTAATTAATATATACTAATGCTCAGTCGCTTTCTCATGTTTGCAATGTACTCTTGATCAAATGCTTGGGTTCCAGCTTGTATCAGAAAATGCATCTCTGCAGCTTTTGTTCTGATTTTCTGACAAAGTCCAGTATTCTTAACCACATTAGAGTTAATACCTCTATAACTTTATACAACAAAAGCAACTTTCCTCTGCTTTTAGGCAAGAACATGAAGTGAGGATTTGTTGGAACTGTATACAAAAGCAACTTTCCTCTGCTTTTAGGTAAGAACATGGTGAGGATTTGTTGGAACTGTACGTTAAAAGGAATGTTTGGACATACGAAGGAGGAAGTGACTCATACAGCCTCTTAATTGGTACTTTTTACACAAATATTATTAGGATAATGAAACAAAATAGCATGGTCAGGGCATACATGGGATGAACGAGAAATCCATACAAAATCCTGGTAAAATAATAAAACAGGATGAGACTACTTGGAAGATCTCAGGGCTAGCTGAGTGACTTGGTTTTTTTTAAGACAGATTTTCGTACATGGAATTGGCAAATGTTTTCCACTGTACTTTCCAAAGCAATATATTTTCCCTACTATTCCACATTTTTAGAGCCTTTTAATTCTGTATTGACATCAATATCTTTACTGCTGCTACATTTTAAAGTAGACAATTAAAATTAATTTTCTTTTCAATTACTTGTTTAGCTTATACAGGTGTTTCTCCTTGAAAGCCAATACATCTTCTTTGGAGATAATTTTGGACATTTAATTTAGTTTGAAGATCTTTCTCAGCTGTACTACAATTACCTGGAGATGATTAATGCAATCTCATTCATATGACATTTCATGCTGTAATTCAATCTGCAAATTTCTTATGACAATGTCTACAGTATATTTAACAGAACAAAACTAGAATCTAAAGATATCAGTTTTAGAAAATGTTACTAGAGAGAGGACATGCTAGAAAGGGAGAAAAAACATTCTTACTAAAGGGAAGACATAACCTCACTTGCACATGCGGCTGACTTAATCTCTCACCTTTGACCAGAGATAATTCAAGATGTGTCTGTGCAATGAAGTTGAACTTGGCACGTGCCTGGCCTTCATTGGGTAGCTTGGGTATTGTTCGAATTCCATCATATGGGATTATCTGTGTAAACACAATGTTCATATGCTGATGATATAAAAAAATAGGACAATTTGAATATTACTTGTATGTAATCCCAGACAGCATGGACAAGGGTAAGAATAAATATAAAGAAAATTTCAAAAGGGAAATCTCTTGGAAAACAGACACTTTTAAGGCCATAATGGAAGTGGGAAGATTATATAAGGAGATTGAAAAGTCATGCAACCCATGACACATTCTATTTGTCAAAAAATACATTGCACTGAAATCATAAAACAAAAACAATGTTATATAAAGTGATGGAAATATCCAGAGCATAAGAAAGTTTGACAGATATCATCCACACTGACATGGCTTAACACCAAATGTCAACTGGAATGGTTTCTGCAAGCTTCATGTGTCACAAAAATGGTTCACGAGATGAGATATTGTCAATCTTTGTGGTACAGAAAGAACTGGGAAATATATTTCTAAACTCATTCTGGCAAGTTAAGTACGAACGAGATGCCAGGTAGCGTTCAACACTCATTAGACTTGTGGAAAAAAGACATCCTTGCACCAATTGACAATTTATGGACTGGCATAAGCAGAATGCAACATGATGTGACCTGTACGGGCTCTTATAAAGTCACACTGACATTGTATATTTATTAATCCAAACAAATTGTATTTATTTGCAACCACCAACGAACATTTTAATATGGGTCACACAACTTTTTGATCATTCCGTAACAAATGTTCCTCAGGGAAATAAAATGGGAGGATGTAAAGTGGACTAAACTGTGTGGATCATGTCACATGTCATACTTTGATACTAAGATTCTATTGTTATGAAGACAAAGTTAAAGTAATGCTAGCCAATATATATACACACACACACACACACACACACACACAGGGCGAGTCAGAAGTATGTTTACAAACTTCATGTGCGTGTTCCAGGATCAAAATTAAGAAAAAATGTTGCCATGAACATGAGGTCGCAAATGTTTCATTTTCGAAATAATAGGCAAAGATAATTGTCAATGTATGCCTTTATTGCCAAGTAAAAGGACAGGGATGTTTCTTTGTAACAGATGCTCAAAGGTTGTTCCTCCATTCTCAACACATGCACGAGCACGACGTACTCAAGACTGATGAATTTGTTCGTACACACTGGGGTTTCCTCGAATCATCTGGTATGCATCTTGCACACATTCCCATAGGTCGTCTTCATTGTTTATGGGTGTTGCATGGACGACGGACTTCAAGTGACCCCGCAGATAAAAGTCCAATGGAGTCAGGTCCAGTGACCTCGGTGGCCATGCTACTGGGCCACCACGCCCAATCCATCGCTGAGGATACTGTTCATTGAGATGATATCTGACGCGATGGGAGAAGTGTGCTGGGCTCTGTCATGCATAAACCACATTCGTCTTCTTGTATTCAGTGGTACATCTTCAAGGAGACCTGGCAAGTGTTTTCTTAAGAATCACGGATTTGAAGGTCCTCTTAGACGTGATGGAAGCATGTGTGGACCAATAAGTATGTCGCCAACAATTCCTGCCCAAACGTTAACTGAAAATCATTGCTGGAAGCTATAGATTCACTTTGGTATGAAGTCAATTCATTGAAATTTATTTTTGGATATTATTTCGAAAATGAAACATTTGCGACCCCAAGTTCATAGGAACATTTGTTCTTATTTTCGATCCTGGAACACGCACACGAAGTTTGTAAACATACTTCTGACTCACCCTGTATATATAAAATGGTATAAGTAATGTTATCCTTGGTAATATTTCAGGTTTTCATGGTGACAACAATGAAATGTCTGTTATCTGGGATGTTGCATCACGCAATCTGATAGAAACTGACCATTGTTTCAGAGGTGCTTACTGTCTCCATCATCAGAGTAATCACCATGAAATGACACCGAGTTTCTACCAGACTACAAGGTGCTACACCCCAGAAGACAGTCCGCTTACAAGTTATCCTTGTGCCTAAACACAATGCCATTAAGGCACATAAAAGGTCTAAACAGTAAACGAGGTTAGTTTCAAGCCTTATCCTTTGTTAAGCTCACAGATACAGCTTCCAATGCAGCCAATCACATCGATAAGTGACATATCACAGCTTCTGTGTTAAAATATGTAAGAGAATAATTCAATATTTGAGAAAATTTAAATAAAGCAGCAATATAGGGTAATAAATAAAGTTTGAGTAAATTACAATTGAAGTTACAACAATTTCATAAATCATACAATTCTGTTTGTCAGTAACCAAACTGCTCATAGATTGTAGTCTTCCGAGTTGTGATGCCATGTAGTCTCGTAGGTGATTAACATTTCAGACAAACTCTGGTAACCAATTACAAGACTACACAATGTTACAATCCAGAAAATTACAATCCACATATTCACTGCCATAACCTCAAATACCATAAACCAAACTGACATCAGAAGACAACCTGTACCTCAACATAGTTGAAAGGGAAGAGGCCGACCATAGCGTTGTGCTCTCCCTCATACCAGTTCTTGTCAATCTGGCGTCGCACGAATATAATGTCCCCTCTTCTGAAGCTGAGCTCCCTGTCACACATCCACAAAGTTTCATTCCATCATAATTAATGACAATGACGTTAAGATGCAGTATTAAACAATAACTGAGGAGTATTTATGGAGAATATTATAAGTGCAAAAGGTCATACTTTTATGAACACAGCACGTTTAACCATAGACGGGCAACACATCACTCCAGGGTCAGTGCTTTGAATCCAGTACATGGCTAGAACCAAGGTGTCGTAACTATCCAATTATTTTACATTATAGCCCTGGGGCTTATATTTTACACTTGTTTTGTTAAAAGACACATGGAAGGAAATTCAAAACACAGCATGGCTTAGGGCAGTGGTATTCAACCTGGGGTACGCGAAGACATCTTAGGGGGTACGTGAATTTTAAATAATATATATATTATTTTATGATAAACACTGAATAATCAGTAATGTAATTTATTTATTTTATTTTAGATGTAGATTATATACTGTGTATAACTTGAATTACACACCAAAAACTTTGGGGGTACAAAGTTGAAGAGAAATTATATCTGGGGGTACGAGAACAAAAAAGGTTGAATACCTCTGGCTTAGGGTACACGTGCAAACCATAAATAGCGTAATGTGTACCAGCTTTAGAAATTCTACATTAGACAGTTTAAATTTTATCACAGCAGGATGCTGAGTGTTACTCTAATAATTATGTAGATTGAATAATCTAAACCTTTCGTGGAAATCCAAATTAAAAAAAAACTCCTCTCAGGCTATCAGCCGTCTGATCAGAAACCCTGACGATGGGGACAGAGACGGTCCCTGAAACATCGGCGAGTTCTATCCATCTGACATGGCTGATGGCCTGAGAGGAGTTTATTAATCATGTAGAAGGCAATGAACTCCCTAAGAAACAAAGAGCATATCCAGTCATTAGTCTCGGACATCTGAAGGAAGCGACTGATGAAAATTTTAAAATAGTTTCAGGGTCTGCCTCTGAGAGATGAGGCTAAATAATTAGAAGATCATGATTAACTTCAGCCAATTACATAAACCAAATTCAAATAAAAGGAATAAATGAGGACACAAATTTCTGTAATTTCAAACTCCCAGGAACTCACTTGCCAGTTTTTGTGTAGGGCAGATGTGGGTGAGCCAATCAGAAAAATGCATTATTAAATTTGTGTCTTTAAGATATAAACTGTAAAGTTGTATAATTAGAAAATAATATACAATTTCATAAAATTATTTTAATTAGAGGAAGCTGAACTCTCATACAGAAAAGAAAAGTGCAACTTACATTCATTGACGTTACTGGCAAACATTAAGAACAATTACATTTTATCGCAGTAAAAGTGTTATTTCAAGAACCGTGAAACCTGTAAAGATGAGTGTACCAAACCATCCTTGAAAAACGATACAGTAACGTGCAATACACGAGTTACAAATAAGATGTTTGGAACTCACTCAGTTTTCTACAGTACTTCCCCATTTAAATTTAACAATTTTACACTTATATCATTCTCTATAAACAATTCTCAATTAAATTCATTCTTTTGTTCACCAAACCATTCAAATACCATTTTACTATAACAATTATAATGATATTAAAATTTTAAAACAGAAAAAAGGTTTACATAGTTAAAATCATATTTACAGATATATTTCTAGTATATCTACATTCAACCCTGTCACTCTACAACTACCCAACAATCCATCCATCTATCCATATCTATCTTTTTGGCAATCTCCGAAACTCCATATTAATGCACGTCTCTTTCCCCATCATGAAGTTGACTGATGTGAATGGTACATGAACCATAAAGAGCTCCAAGTTCTTTTCTTTGGTTGAAGAAAAATTAAATTGTAGCCACACTAAATCTCGTGACTGAGCCCCAAAACGTCATTATGAACCACAACAGAATCACTTACTGTGGCAAACTCGTCTTACCTCGATGTTTGCCCAACAAAATTGTAGAGAGCTCGTGCCACCAGTTTGGGTTCGGGTGTTCGGTCTCTTGGTTTCCCTTTGTAGCCAACATCGTCCAAGAAGTCATCGTAACGGTTGAGAGGAATTGGTGACTTCTGCGATGGTCTGTGACAGATGGCTTATATATCACATAAATACGTAGCAGAATCAGTCAATAAATATTAAAATAAATAGCTACATTTAAAAAGGTATTTGTTGGTTATCGGGACACAAAACGGGAGAATCGAATATCTGGACTTGGATTGGACGGAAAACTGCGCATGCGTATCAGAATACCCGTATACTCGGTTGTTGTTATCGGCTAGTTCGTTCAGTTATTTATTGCTATTCGGTACAATGTTAAAAATTTGGGATTTACCTAACAGTGACGACGATATTTTTAAAACGATTATAAAATCAATAAGCGAATTTTGGCTTCCGGCGACAGGTTGTAACAACAATTAACATCTCATGCATATCCAAATAAAATATAACTTTCAAGTATATATGTCATTTATCCACATACATTAACCTAACCTAACCTATTTTTAAAGCGATGTGTCCCGATAACCCACAAGTACCAAAAAGGTACCTTTAAAAATTTGTTTAAAACATTGCATGCCCACATCATATAAAAAGCCAGGTTAAATGACACTTAGCGTATACTACAACAGCTGCTGAAAAAAGTGTCCTCCAATATCCAAGCACATTTCGCACTGACGTAACAAATTCTGTGACACTCGTTTAAGCATCACATTCTGCGATTTCTAGAATAACATTCCGGACTAAAATCTGTAAAGCCTCTAAAATTCATGGATTATTTCCATTTCACATTTCCCAGAAATAAAAATTACAGACATGCCGAACAGTACAACATGAGCACACCCGGATGCCGACCGAGACTCGAACAGAGTACCTAAAGAATTCATGTTTACACTTACCTCCTCGGTCTTCCCATTGTTCTAATGTTTACGTCAAGCTGTCCTTATGGCTCAGGTACTCACGTGAAATTGTCTGTGTGTCTCCTGCTGTTCATGTCCTGTAGCTCATGCAGGTACTTCCGCCTCCGCTCCTCCTGGTATATCCTACGCATGGCCTCGGCCTGCCGTCTGGCGAGTTCCTCTTCCGACAGCACTTCCTTGGCCTCGGATCGCACGGGACTCCGGTAGTGAATTGTCACTTCCGACTCCACGTATCGATGAGGCGACTCTGCGACGAACGACAAAGACCGTTAGTATGTGAATGAGTGCGTGCGTGCATGCGTGGCCTAGTCTCCGCTCGTGACACTTTCGTGTCACCGACCCACATCATAACACGCCGGCTGTTAAACACATATTTCGCGAGCAACCACGCCTGTCTCTTCCCTGAAAAACGATTAACATGTCAGCGCGAACTCGCCAGATCGCGAATTTAAACCAGTGCTTATAGAATTGTCTACCAATCTAGAAAACATACTGAGAAGAAATTATAAGTGTAATATGATAAAATAGGTTAGGTAAGACATTTGGAATATTCTGAGATATTCCCGATTATTTGAGAACAAAAAAATATTTGGTTAGTGAAGATACAAATAATACGATTCCAAAGTCATCATTTCGTGTTTCTGATTTGCTTACGATCGAGTTCAGAGGGTAACATTAGTTTTTATTGACCCAAAACGTGCCGCTCCACAGTTCAACTTAACTTACCTGTGAAAAAATTTCACCTGTTTTTAATAAAACATATTTATACAGTCAAGAAATATTTAGGTTATATCTACACCGACATAATAACCGATATACATAAAGAACGAAACTGAAGAGTTCCATCATGTAAGACTCAAGACACTTCCAACTATAATAACTGCCCAACAGCGATCTAGAAGTACTTAACAATTCGACTGAGCTGCACACGTGACTACGCTGGAGGGGGTTGATCCACGTGACTTATTTTTTCCGCGGCCTCAGTACAGTCGCAAAAAAGATTACTCACCTGAAGTATCACAGAACATGTCGTCAAAATGCATCTGTAGGCGCCACCGGCCTGCGTTAAGTCGCGTATTTCTGACGTTCTGGTACTCTGCGGGAATACAGGGCCACTAAGGATACCGCATTCAAACAAAAATACGTTTTCTTGGCTCTATCGCTCGACCTTGTTTATAATTAGCAGAATTTAAAATATTTATGAAGACTGGCGGTAAGACTTTGTATGGAGGATCAGGCATCTTAAGAGTCATAACCTAAAAAAAATAACAAGCCCACAAATCATTCATTTCCGAACTCGCTATCCAATGACTGAGTAGCCTGAGACACCTAGCGGCCACAAGGAACGTTCCAAACGAATTGGTTTAAACACAAAGAACAGACAAGTTTGCTGTTCTGCATTTGTAGATACAACGGAAACCTAATGCCGTACTCCACGGATGATAGCGTTTCCGAACCTCGTTAGTTACTTGAGAAAGTAGACCTTCATAACATGTTGAAATTCAAACTGCATGTTATATCAATTACCTTTACGGTTTTAAATGTAGGTAACACATTTGTGGTTTATCTTAAATTCCTTCCGTCCTACCTGCTTTAACACTCAATACGTCTATTTCTTATCTATGTGTTTCTTATGAATCTAAGCGTAAACAGTTTAACAGCGTTAATAAAATGATCTTTGTAATGGTGAAGTGTGGTGTTTTCTATGCGGTACGGACCGAGTTCTTAAAATATTATCAGACGATCTTAGGCTGTAGGCGGTCAATGACACTGTCAGTAGACATGACTACACACCGTCAAATAATAGGGTGATTAATAAACAACGAATTTTAAAGGATAAGGAAGGAATCGGTCGTGGCCTAAGTCAAGGTACAATACTGACAATTGACTGGAGAGACTGAGGAATACCACGAAAGTCTTCAGCAAGGAAGTCAGTCTACGGATCAAGATTTTAACCCGGGGTTACCATTCGGTATAATTACCTCGTTCACTCCTGAGACGTCTGAAACGACAGAAAAGGATTTCTCCTGATCAAATTTGTTTTGAAAACTGTTGGATGATAAAGAATCAACATTTATGTAAATAAGAGAAAAAGAAGCTGATAAAATTTGCTCACCAGCTGATTTTTCAAAAAAATAGTCCCATGAAACGAAATAATATATACAGTACTGTGTATGAATTTAAATACTAAAATTTAATCAATTCTATGCATAAAGGGTATAAAATACAGACTCCGCTACAGCTCATCGGCCATCTTATCTCGTAAACTATTTATAGTACTAGGGGCTTAAGAGTGAAGGTTAATACGGGGGATTCAGTTTGTCTGTCTGTTGACATAAAGCTGCGATCGAACTTGCAAGTTTTTTTCAGAAATGGTTAATCGTACAAAAGACAGCCATCTTCAGACCATACCAGCCCAAACTTCTTCATTTATTTCTATCATCCACCGCTCTCCTCAGATTTGCACCTCGTGTTCCGAGATACATTCTTTTTGTTAACTTCCTTCAGATGTGATTTACGTACATCTTCTTTCACATTGTAAATACACAGGTTATAGCCTATTCAACCCAATTCAATTGTTTATTATCAGCGTGCTGTATCAACAGCCAGAGGGCCAAGAGAAGAACACAATAATAAATAAATAAATAAATAAAGGTAACAACAAAGATATTATGAATGTAGAGGACATTTATACATAAATGCAAATTGCTACTGAATACATCTTCGTAAAAACAGTTCAATTAAATTAAGTAAAGCAGATTAAAAGGAAAAGAAAATATTCGAAACATAAAAGGTACGAAGTCAGAGAATTTATAAAATAAAGATGATAACACGTAGTCAATGTCGTGTATAAGAGTTGTGAAAAGGGAATATATATGTTCAATGTAATTAATATTTAATATCTGGATAGTGACACAGTTATTGTGGAATGTGATTAAGGGAAACAATTTTTATTTCAAATATATCGAAGTCCCTGCAGCTAATGCGCATTTAGCAGAAGGACAGTTTTTAATTGAAGGTCTGTAACTGAACTTAGAAAAGTCTGTCCGATTCCGAGCAGGAATTCATAGACCGACAGCTTCCAGAAGGGAAGGACGGAATTTAAAACCACGGTAAACTTTCTTAAGGAACAGGTCTGGAGTTTTGAATACTATACAGCGTTGGCATAGGAAACGATTATATACGTATAACAAACCGTTTTTGGACTAGATGTATTCAGCTAATTTGAAATGTCCTCTCAACTGCTTCAGTTCAAGCACAGACAAGACTATATCACTTAAATGCCACTGAATAAAGTTGGAAGAATAATATATACTGTTCTCTAATAATAATTTAACAGGGGTTGAATCGATATATGGATGAAGGATTTGAATACACGAACGGCCAACACAAAGACCTTAGTTTACATTGAATAACATATAAATACGTGCCGAGGCGAGGTCGGAGATTCGTTTAGAATCTCAAATACGTGCTACCTTTCAAAATCAACTACGGGTTTTCGTACGGCAAGCACAGAAGCGGGCAGTTTAATTATAAATGACGTCTACTTCCAAAATTTGTCACTGCATACACGGTGTCACAATCTTATCATGTCTGAGTAGCCAACGACGTTCATAATGTCGTGAAACCATAACATATAATATTATGACTAAAACGATTATTCTCAAACATTTGCCTTAGCTTTTCCATGATGGTTTCTTTCTCCAACAAAGTTTACAACATCAAGATATCACCACATTAATTTATTTAAATTAATAAGACACCATATTCTCCATCTCCGAGTTATATCTACTTATCAGTGATTCAAACACAATTCCGTATTTTTGACGTGAAAACGTCTTTAAAATCGATGCCGGGTGTGGGGAGGCAATCGCGCCCAAATGAGCGACAGTTTCTGTCGAAGTAATTTAAAACTTCAATAACTCGGCTACAAATAAACATAGCGCAGCCATCTTAGTCTCGTTTTAAAGAGGAAGGATGAAAGTTTGTGCCAGTACCGCTCCGACATTCGTGGTGGTCGGACGTCGCGAACTGCGCACGCGCAAAATGAACCCACGATTTTCGACTTTCCGGATTCGACACGTGTCCATAAACGGGATCATATCTCAGAGACTAATTATCCGATCCGAGTGAACCAAGTGTTGTTTTGAAGAGGAGCGTATATGTTACAACTCATCCTGGCCTCCAAGTGTGTATCTCAAAAACTCAAAAAAGATACGAGGCTGTGAATTTGAAAAAGTTTGAAAATTTCCCGA